GTATTTATGCTACACTATAAAGAAAAGAATCTACATATTTATGGCACTCACTCTGCCAGTACAAATGTTGTACTCATTCTGGGAAAGTGTGCATCCAAAACCTTAAATGAATAAATGATGTACCTGAAAATCAATAGAGTTGAACCAAAGTCATTAGTATTAAAGTCTTGTTCAAACACTTGGCAGGAGACTAGCTAACATTTGCAGGCTCATGTAACTGAAATGATCAATCAAATTATAAACCAAAGGAGCAAATGTGAGGTAAACTGGGTTTTATGCATCTGTGTCTCTGACTGCATATTACATTTTTTGCTTATAACTCATCTTTACTCAGTGTGACTTGTCACAGAGTTACTGTGTGCAATTTATCATGTATGGATTCTTGCTGAAACACCTTTCTTTCCCCTCTTCAGCGCCTCATGGGCCACTCAAATGGTTAAAGATTGAGGAATAAGATTGGAAAACCTATTTTGTTAATTGATCTGCTTGGCTCCTGATGAGAGACAAATGAAGCTTTGCAGAAGTGGGAACAAGCAAATACTGATCAGCTGGAGATGGCTTATTACCAGAGGCATTCTTTGGGCCAGGCAAACAAGAATCTCAGCTTTTTTAAAAAAAAGCAAAATAGTATATCTTCAGCATTTTTCCTTGCAGACATATTCTGGAAATTTTAGTCAATATAAACATACCTCTACAGCTGAAAGGAGCAAGCGGATGGGTACCACTTCTATTGCAGGAGTGAACCAAAGAACTCACACCAGCACCCAAGGTGAAGTCCATTGAAGTCAATGGGAATTGTACCTTTGCATTCAGTGGTGCCAAGATTTTCCCCAGCCTATCTGTTTATACAAAAGCAGGCCTATCCCCAAATCATTTGTTAAACCCCCTCCCCTCCACTCTCAGAATTCTTATTCTGGCTCTCAGCATGGCAACATGCTAATGGTGGATAGCAGTAATTGTTTCAGATGAAGGACATGGCAAAAATATTTCTGGGATTATCAAAAGACACTGTTGCCATCATTCCTTTTTTAAATAATTCAGCCTTCTCTGAGGCTGGGACTGAACCAGCTAGTGTCTGCTCTCAGAGCGGTACTGACTCCAGGAACCAATCAGTGGCACACAGTGCACTAGTCCAGCAAACACTGCTGAGGCCTGCACTAGTCCAAGAAACACTGTACAGTTCACTTCCTGCTTTTCCCCTTTTTTCCAGTGGGCACCTATCTGGTAGTCCTAACGCATGGAGAGTTTGGGGTACAGGGGTGGTTCTGCTCCTCCTCTCTCCCCTGCATAGACATATAGTCCAAATCAAAATCTAGCCCTCAGATAGGTGTTGCATTGCAGTTGCAACTACTGTTGCCATTGCACCAACAGCCAGAGGAACTCCCCCCTTGTTTTTCCCAGTGTGGATAGGAGCACACAGTGCCCTTAACAAAGCCTGCCCTATCATTCCCAAAACACCCAAAGCAGCAGCAGGATCAAGCAGTAGACCTGTGTGAAGCTTCAGTCCCTGATTTGATTAGGTGGAGATTCAGCCTGATTCGGTGGCTGAATCTCTGAATCCCAATCGAATCAGAGGACCCGTTAATCTCTCTGAATCGAATCAGAACCCTCAGAATCAATTTGGAGAGATTAGGAAAGATTCGGCAGTTTGGACCTAGACACAGCTTTAAATGTTTTTTCTACATATTTGTAGGTTTTCCAACCTTATTCCTCAATCTTTAACCATTTGAGTGGCCCATGAGGCTGCCGAAGAGGGGAAAGAAAGGTGTTTCAGCAAGAATCCATACATGAATGTTGTGATGCTGGGGCACATGGAGTGTCCCACAGCAGTAGACCCAGAAGTGGATCAGACACACTTCCGGTCCACTTCTGAGTCTGCTGGGGAGTGCGCAGGGGGCCTGCCCTGTCCTCTACCCAGCTTGGCAACTGGTGCCTCCTGGATCGGGGGGGGGGTACCTGGTCCCCCTGCAGCCAATCACTGAGCCGGCAGACCTGGCACTCCCTGGTGGACCTGGAAGTGGACGGGAAATACTTCTGGTCCACTTCCAGGGTCACCGCTGAGCGTGTGGAGGGCCTCCCTGCACTCCTGTGGGACATTCCATGTGCCGCAGCATTGCAGCATTTACAAGCCACGCTGGTACCTTGAGGTATGTAGAAAAAACTTTCAAAGCTGTGTCTGTCTGAATCGCTGATTCACCGAATTAGCATTGAATCTTCAGATTTGAATTCGGCTAAATCGAATCAGAGACAGTGATCCGACAACAAATTAAATCACTGTCCTTGATTCGGGCCAAATCCAAATTTGAATTGAATAGGGCCTGCTTCACACATCCCTATCAAGCAGCTCTTGCAGCTCTACTGATTTTCCTTTAGTTGTGATACCTCCAAAGGTTTGGAAGGGTGGAAGGATTGCTAGACACATTTGGGAAGAGTATGAAACTAGTGAATTTTCAAAGGGAGGCTGGGGTGGGGGGAGGAGACATGACTATGAGATTGATGTACCATGGACAAAGGTGGAAGAAACATTTTATCGAAAGGAGGAACCACTAGCATGGACAGATTTTCTTGAGATAGTCCTTTGTTAACATTTTAGCAGCAGACTGGTAGTGTCTAAACTTGCTTGGTTCAAGCAGCCCTCTTTTTTCATTCACCCTGGTAGCACACCCATTGCTCTAACTATTGTGCACTGGAAGATCCAGTGACTGGGGTGCACTGATAGTTTTTCTGAGCCAGTACTGATGACCAATTTTTAATGTGCCATATCAGCTGATTACAATCTGATCATCGATATGTAGCCCCACAGCATGGAGAGCGGTGACTGGCTGGTAAGTCTGTTGTGGGGGAAGGGAAGGGGCATGGGGGTGGCAGATTGAGGGCTCTGCAGTGAGGGAGGGAGTGGGGCTGGGGCAGGGGCAGGCACTGCACAGCCAGGGCGGGGTGGGGCACAGGTTGGAGCCACAAGTGGCTTGTGTGGGAGGTACAGGGGAGGGGCAGCTCTCATTGCTATGCACATCCCAGGAGGGCATGGGGAGCATGAGGCCCTGGGTCTGCATGCAGGGTGAGGGTGGACTGCAGTTGCATGCTGGGGCTGCACCGGGCTTTTCCCAGGATGGGGGTTGGGTTGGGGCTGTGCTTGGGGTAGGTGGCAGTGGCAATGCTGAGAGAGGAGCTATGGGGGGACAGCTGCAGTCACCCCAAAATTCATCATAGCCCCCCATAAACCCCTCTCCCAGTACCACTGCCACCCACCCTGAGTGCAGCCCAGTCCAACCCCACTGCCAGAAAGAGCTTGGCACATCTTCGGCCCCAGCCCATAGTGGCAGTCTGCCCTGCTTCATGTGCAGTTCTGGGGGGCACATGCCCCTCATGGCCTCCTGGGGTGCATGCAGTGGCAGGAGCCACTCCCCCCCCGTACCCCCCAGACCAGCTGCTTGTAGCTCCATCCTGCATTCCACCAATGATGGGCAGCGCCAGCCCCTGCCCCAGCCCCTCTCTCACAGTGGGGGCCTCAATCTGTCCCCACCACACCCCTTCTATCAGCATTTATTGTCCACATTATCAGCCACATCAGCCAAGAAAAGCCAATTGCTGACATGGCCAATCCTATATGGGACCAATGTATTGGTGCACCTCTACCAATGACTGCATGAAATACACACATGCTCTAAAGTGAAACTTACTGTTGTGTTCCAGACTAGAGCAGTGGCACTCAACCTTTCAGATGAACTACTTGGGACTCATCTGTGGGCTGGATCCTTTGTGGGGTTGGTTCATGGGACTGGGCCTCATGTGCCTTGATCAGGTCCCATACCACCTCAGCCCAGTCCTGAAACCCAAGACAAACTCTGTGACACACCAACCCTGAATGCCTGATGTAGCTTGCAGGTCTGTGCTATCCAGCCCACTGGGCCTGTCAGGGGTCAGAAAATTTGACAGCAGGGGAGTGGCAATTAATGTTGCCACCATTCCTCTGATGCCAAATATTTGGACCTGTGTGGAGCCTGGTGGGCTAGATGACGGGTCTCTGTGGGCTGGATCTGGTCTGCAGACCAGGGGTTGAGCACCCTTAGACTAGAACAGTGGTTTTCAATCTTTTTTTTTTTTTGGAGGATCTCTAAACAATTTCAAATGGAGGTTTGGGCCCCTGTGAATTATAAGTGTGGGTAGTCACATACCTTTGTTTCATCATAGTCATCTTTCATAGACCTCTCAAACATTGGGAGTCCCAGAACACAGACTGAAAAACACCACTGGACTATAAGATAATGCTTTCCACGTTCAACAGTTTGCTCCATATGGAAGTGATCCAAAGCCCATGAAGCCAATGGAAAAGCTCCAAGTAACTACAATAGGCATTGGAGCTGGTCCCAGGTAGAATACTGTCCGGATATATTTATATTTCTACAATGAGCCTGTCCACAGTTCTAGGGATAAGAATGAGTTCCTAAATAAGTAGCTTTTCAGAAATGCAGAGCACCAAATATATCCCCCAGATGTCAGTGCAAACTGTGCATGCCTAGCCCCTTCAGGAAAAAAAAAGAACCATTTCTATTTAGGTACCTCCCTTACAGGGAAATAAGTGCCTCTCAGTTTTAAAATTTGTCCTTGAGATGGTATTTATTAAATCATTTTATTTTAATATCTGGGGGCTTAATAATATAATGCCACTGAATCCAGGAACTTTACTCTTCCTAAGCCAGCTCCTCTCATGCATACTGCCACAAGGAAATTTGTCCCTATGGCTCCCACTGTCATAAATGCAGCCTGTTTGACATCCATGCCTTTGCTACTACAGACAGCAGGATCACACACCTTCAGAGAAACAATTAAAATATGTCACACACCTTTTATTCTAATGAAATGATACTGAAAGAGCAAACATGGAAAATATTGTTGTTTGCAATTCACAGCATGAAGACTGCACACTGCCTCTTTAAACCTTACAATTCAAGTTTAACTGCCCTTCACAACACTGAAATTTCAAAAATCCAATAACTCACCTTAGGGGGAGGGTACAGATGACAAAGTGGTTGGCCTGCATCCTGTTTACATAGCTTTATGGAATGGCACACCACATCAGCATTCATTTTGTACTCCAACCTGAGGAGAAATGGTGCAAAACAAAAACTACTAAATCCTCTTGAGTGTTAGAAAATTGAACCTATTTCAATGGAAAAGTAAATCTTAAAAATATTATGCAAGGCCCTTAGTTCATTTTATTGTGGCTTTTTAGCTCAGCTCAAGCATAGCTGTTGGGCAGTAATTATTTTCTGCCAGGGCCCACTTTGCATTTGAAAAGAGGTAGTGTTTTATATATAGCACCTCCAAATATAGTCCTGGGTATAGCCAAAAACTGCACTCTACTGGAGTTTGGGGTCACTGTGGTGGGATTGCTTGTGGCAGAGCAGCCCCTAGAAAGTGCTACCAGGGCCAAATCCCAGAGAAAGGTGAGACTGGGGCACTCTAAAACCTCAGCCCCCACTGCCTTGTGGGCTATCTCTTGGTCAGGAAAGATTAGGGGAGCAGACCCTGAGATAAAAGTAAGGGCAGAGCCAGATTGTTGACTAGAATGGACAGATACACCTGGTTCCCTCTGGAAAGTCCTCTCTGGTGGATCAGGTGGCTGAGCAGATATACTTATCTCCCTGGCTGTGAAGGCAGATGGCAAGAGCTGTGTAGACAATGTAGGGCATCACTTTGGGTGCAGTAGGACCTGATGGCTAACCACTACATCCAGATGTTTCAACATTGTTGTGCTACTGGATTCAGACAGGCCTGGATGACAGAGTGGGGGTGACTCTGCAACCTTTCCTCACTTAAATCCAACTCATGTATAAGTCATGACATCGTCTATCTCTGCCATAGATATACTCAAGACCTGTAGTGATGGGCAAGCAGCATGCAGCAGGTGTGGATACACTGGGAGCTGTAGCAGCAGACCTGCACACAGGCAGCTCAAGGCTGAGTCGCTTTTCACTTGAGCAAACCAGCAGTGGAATTCATCAGCACCCCAGGTGACTGAGCAGCCCTACTTAGGATCACACTGCTCATCTCCGAAGCACAAGGAAGGGGCTAGAAAAGGTGCCCTAAACATTGTCTTCTTCACCTTAACCCTGGTCGACACACCACAGCTGATAGGGATCCCACTACAGCAGTCAAAAATCACAGAAAAAGATCAAAAAGAAAAAGGTGGAACCACTCACCTCTGGTAATTGGAAGGTGCACATGCTAATGGACTGTAAAACAGCAGAAAGACCAGAAAGAAGAACAGTTGTAGGTGGTAGAGAACTAGCCAGATTCATCATTTAGATTGTGGCCCAGAGTGAAACTTGCCTAACTGAAGAAGGACAACTTACTGAAAGAAGAGCTGGCTACACATTCTTCTGGAGTGACCATAGTAAAGAGGAGCGACATGAACTGGTGTTGGGTTTGCTGTCAAAACACAGCTAATCAGCAAGCTTACAAATCTCCCAAAAGGCGTAAATGACAGACTCATGCTAATGAGACTCCCACTGTTTGGGCAAAGATGTGCAACTGTCATCATCCCTTATGCACCCGCCATGACCAACCTAGATGTGATTAAGGACACATTTTACAAAGAGTCTCTTATTGCAGAAGTGCCAAAGGCAGGTAAGTCATCATCCTTGGTGACTTTAATGCTACAGTTGGCCCAGGTTATCAGGCATGGCCAGGCATCATTGGAAAAAATAGCCTTGGGAAATGCAACAGCAGCAGGCATTTTCTGTTGAGGAAATGTACTGAACGCAACCTCCTAATCACCATCACAGTCTTCTGCCTGCCAAGCTACAACAAGACGTCTTAGATGCACCCATGCTCCATGCACTGGCATCTCATTGTTTACATCATCATCAGGAGAAGAGATAGACAGGAGGTCAAAGTGACAAAGGCCATGAGAACTGCAGAATACTGGACTGACCACAGGCATATAGTCTCCAAGTGGAATATCCAGTTATATGCCAGTGGACGACCATAAGGCAAAAAAGCACCCAAAAGGCTCAATGTCTCCAAATTGAAACAGGAGAATATGAAACCGGAATTTGTTGAATAACTGCACAGCTAACTAGTAACAACTGATGTAAACTCCAAAAACATCGAGAAAAATTGGACATCCTTCAGAGACACTGTGCACTCAGCTACATCTAATACTCTCTGTTCTACCACACGTAAACATCAAGATTGATTTAGTAAAAATGATACTGACATAGGGAGACTATTAAATGAGAAACATTGGCTCCATAAAGCCTGCTTAGAAGACAGCACTTCAACATCTAAGAAGGCAGCCTTCAACAATGTCAAGAGGACTGTCCAACGCAAACTCAGAGAGATGCAAAACTCATGGCTGAGCAAACAGGTGGATGAGATTCAATCCTACACAGACAGGAATGATATGAAGAACTTCTATGATGCCCTGAGGACAATCTACAGGCCATGGTCATCAGGAACATCTCCAATATTGAGTGCTGATGGCACCAAACTGCTCTTTGACAAATGAAAGATACTGCAAAGATGGGCAGAAGTTTTCAACATCCTCAATCAACTATCATTTATTAGTGAAGAGGCAATTGATCGACTGCCCCAGGTAGATATTAATATATCTCTTGCTGACTGAGAATGTGGAAGCAATTAACCTGCTGTCAAATGGCAAAGCACCTGGAGAAAATGCTATACTAGCAGAGGTCTACAAGGTTGGAGGTTCCTACATGGCTCTGAAACTGACTGAACTCTTCCAGTCAATGTGGATTGAAGAAACTATAGCTCACGAGTACAAGGATGCAACCATCATCCACTTGCACAAGTGGAAAGGCAATAGACAATCCTGCATGGCATCTCCTTGCTGTCAATAGCCTGCAAAACCTTTGCCAGAATTCTGCTGAATCACCTTGTGCAACACATTGAACAAGGGCTGCTGCCTGAGAGTCAGTGCGGCTTAAGGAAAGGACTCACAACCACTGACATGGTGTTTGCAGTACCTCAACTTCAGGAGAAATGCCAGGAACAGAATTCCAACCTGTACATGACTTTCATTGACCCGACAAAAGTATTTGAAGCAATCAGTCAAGAGGGCCTTTGGAAGATCATTGTAAAATTCAGTTGCCTGGAGAAATTCATTGCAACAGTTAGACAATTCCATGCTGGCATGCTCACTCGTGTTGTGGAAGACAGTGAATCCTCTTAACCATTCCCAGTCACCAATGAAGTCAAGCAGTGTTGTGTGGCCCCATCCCTCTTCAGTATAATGTTCTCTGCCATACTTACAGATGCCTTTTGTGACTGTGACACTGGGATTGACATAAGATACCAGAATGATGGCAAGTTCTTTAATTTGAGGAGATTATAGGTAAAAACAAAGTTACAGGAAGTGACTGTTCATGATCTTCTCTTTGTTGATGACAGTTCCCTGAATGCCAAGTCTGAGTCTGACATGCAGCGGAGCATGGATCATTTCTCTTCAGCTTGTGACAAGTTTGGTTTCATAATCAATACAAAGAAGATAGAAGTGATACATGAACCTGCACCAGGAAAGCCTTAAATAGAGCATAGCATCACAGTGAATGACCAAACCAGTCATTGGTTTGTCCACTGCCAAACCATCCAGTGGACAAGTTCATCTATCTCAGCAGTACACAGTCACATGCAGTTCAAATCAAGGAAGAAGCCAATGCCAGAATTTCCAAAGCAAGTGTGGCCTCTGGCAGACTATGTATAAATGTGTGGGAGTGAAAAGGCATCAGCTAACAAACAGAACTGAAGGTCTACAGAGGCTCTGTGTTGCCAACCCTGATGTATGCATGTGAAACCTGGAGGGTGTACAGATACCATGCTGTGAAGCTCAAGCACTTTCACATGGGCTGTCTGAGGAAACTGATGAGGAAAAGATGGCAAAACAAGGTCCCAGAAACTGAGGTTCTCACATGGGCAGGCATTCCAAGCATCCACACTCTGTTGATGAAATCACAGATGAGATGGGCAGGCCATGTCACCAGGATGTCAACTGAGCAACTACCAAAGAAGATCTTTTACAATGAGCTAAAGGAGTGAAAATGCTCTCAGGGAGGCCAGAAGAAACATTTCAAGGACTTTCTCAAATCATGCTTGAAACATTTCAACATTGACCCAAAGCCTTGATAAGATCTTGCTCATGATCATTCCACCTGGTGAAGTCTCATCCATACTGTAGTTACAGTCTATGAGTGGAGAAGAACTGCTGAGGCAAAGTAGAAGCTCAAACAGCATAAATCTCACAACCACAGAATGTCCGCTGTTGATCAAGCAACCCAAAGTGGCGTCTTTTGCTCAGTGTGCCATAGATAGTTCAAAGCACAAAAGCTGCCTATACATTAGCAGCGAGGCTGCTTTGACGCACTGTAACTACAGTTCATCAGAGCAGGCTTGATTAATTGAGTCTGCTGGAGCATGGTAATTGCTAAGGCTGTGCAAAGCTTCAGTCCCGGATTTGATTTGGCGGAGATTCTGCCCGCCTCGGTGGCAGAATCTCTGAATCTGAATTGAATCAGGAGACCCTTTAATCTCTCCAAAGTGAATTGGAACCCTCCGAATCAATTTGGAGAGATTCAGTGATTCGGACATAGACACAGCTTTAAATGTTTTCCTTACATACCTTAAGGTAGCAGGTGGCTCGTGAATGCTGCAATGATGGGGCAGATGGAGTGTCCCACAGGAGGAGTCCCTCGCATGCTCAGCAGCAGATCCAGAAGTGGACCAGAAGCACTTCTGGTCCACTTCTGGGTCCGCTGGAGAGCATGCTGGGGGCGTCCCTGTACCCATCCTGCTCGGTGACTGGTGCCTTCTGGGTCGGGGGGGGCACCTGGGGTCCCCTTGTGGCCAATCGCTGAGTTGGGGGGTTGGAGGGGTGCGTGCTCAGTGGCAAATCTGGAAGTGGAGCAGAAGCACTTCTGGTCCACTTCCAGGTTTACCCATGAACATGCGGGGGGAGGGGGGCGGGCGCACTCCTTTGGGATGCTCCATCTGCCCCAGCATTGCAGTGTTCACGAACCGCACCTGGTACCTCGAGGTATGTAGAAAAAAATTTGAACCTGTGTCTATGGCCGAATTGCTGATTCTCTGAATCAGCATCGAATCTGCAGATTTGGATTCAGCTTAATTGAATCAGGGACAATGATCCAAATCAGCAAATCAAATCACTGTCCCTGATTTGGGTTGAATCTGAATCCAAATCGAATTCGGTCCATTTTGCACACCCCTAGCAATTACCATGCTTCAGCAGACTCCACGGTCTCATGCATCAGCGGCCCTGAACTTAAAAATGGTGGTGGGGGTGCTTTAACTAAATCTCATTCAACCAGCTTTAGATAAAATGCCCCCACTGCCATTTTTAAACTCGGGGCTGCTGATACATGAGACACTCCTGGAGCTTTAATTAGAGTAATTAGAATTACTCTAATTAAAGTGCTCCCCCCATCCCCCTCCCAGAGCAGGTGTAAAAATGTCCAAATTAGCCTGATCAGTCAGTCACATGCTCAAAAAAACCAAACCAACCAGTGATGTCATGATCATCTTCAAATTCGAAGAATGAACAACAACAACCTGCAAATAAGTTATAACTGTACTAGTTTTTAATCAATAATACTAATAACACTAATTCAATTTGGCAAGTACAAATATTCAATTCTGATTTAACAAAATAATCAGGAATCTTTTTTCACTTCTAATAAGACATGAGTATCAAGACTAGTTTTCTTTACTTTTTTACTTATTTTTAATAAGGCACATCTCTGGACTTAGGAAGAATTAAATCAAAATGTTTGATTATTGTGCATCTTAGTTTTGTAAGCAGTTATAGTCCCTAGGCTAAATTAAAAAGCCCTAAGGAAGTAGAAAGTACAGCAGGAACTCAGTTAATTAAACTGAGAACTTTCTGAGAGGAATAAAATGACCTAATTCTATTTTTAAAGTAATTTACATTGCTTAGAAGGGCTCCCAAGTGCTCCAATCAAGGTCAGGGCTAGGTACAAGTAAAGAATTGACAGTGAAAAATGTCATTAAGGTAAAAGTGGAAATCATGGGACAAGAAATTAAAATATTGTGACCCTTTAGAAAAATCTCTCACCCACCCACTGCTAATTTTATTCAGGAAATTACTCCCAAGCCAAAAGGGATGAATTCAAAAATATAATTAAGTCAGGTGGACCTAATTTGAGATCTAATTTTAGAAATAGAAATACACTGTAGAACTACATACTGTAGTAGTTATGCATTGTGTAGTAGCGAAGTATTCATTCAGTTATAGCCAGCAAGGGTGGCTGGACTACTTAATCTAGTATCTCTCTAGTATACCAGATGTGAAAAAAAAAGTGTATTGTAATACTAATGGGCCTTGACGAATGAAAACACTGCACTGAAAATATACCAGCACAATTTAAAAGAAAAGTCCTTTAGGTGATATCTTAATACTTACAGTTTAACTAGTTCTGGTCCATAAATTTCAGCAACCAAATAACAGATATCCTGAAAGTGAAGTTTTTCTGGAAAACACACATGTTGAAGTATGTGAGCATATGAAATACAGCAGAATTTGCTTTATCAAGAGAAATACCATGCAATTCTTGAGAAAGGCATGTGGTCAGTTACTAGACAGCACAAAACCAGGCATGAGAAAACATATCTTTTTAACTAGGGTTTGACAATTACACCCTGTATCATTAGTCAAGCCACCCAGACATGTTGCATTTAGTTAATGTTTGTTAAGTGCTTTGAATATGAATGGTGTGTAATATGAATGGACACTTGCTAAGAATATCTTCTAAGCAACTTGAGGGCCAAGTCTTTGCTATCTTATATTGTAAGCCAAAAAAGAAAGCATGCAAAAACAGATACATCAATATGTAGAAAGGCACGCATGTATTTGTATTTTGGCCAGAATTATGTTAGTGTCTTCAAGTGTTTATGTAGGTTTAAAAAAATGAGCAGGAATAATTAGACTTTAACAATACTTGTTATGTTCCTTTAAGCAACATGGCTTTTCTGGATGGCAACTCTCATTCTTTTAAACTAAATGAATCATACTACATGTCAAAGTATATTGTATGATATACATTGCTAATGATTTTTTTTTAATATGCTACTGAAAAAGAATGGTACTTGGGCTATTTTATTAACATTGAGGAAAGAGAAGTGCACTTCTGAGAGGGAGTCTTGAATTTGAACGCAGTTGCAAAATACCAGTAAGCTCCAGTCTTGCAGTTCCTAGGAAGGAAAGCTAAACATGTCCCCCCTCCACCCCCCATGATGATTGCAAACTGGATTCAGCAACACACTTAAGCATTGTATTAAGTCTTTTTCTATTGGAAGTGTACTTATTAAACATGTGCATAACTCCTAGGGAAGTTACTTTAATGAAAGGTAAGCATATGGTAAAAATTAGATTTAGACTGCTGAATTGGAGCTTTACTTTAAATCAGTCTCCTACATCTTACAGCTGTCAACTGAGTGTCTGTTTTTTGCATATTAATAAGCAGTAAATCATGAGTCATAGCTAGATGTTAAAATTTAGGTTCATTTACACAGTTGTTTGCGCGGTAGAAACAGCAATATATAGAAACAAGAACAAAGAAGCATATAGTCCTAGTACCCTGTCCCTGTCTTCAGCTAGTTTTCCCTTAAACACGGCATTGCAAACTCAGTGGACCTCTAGTTTAGCATCTGTAGATTAGACAACTGAGTACTGAGAGACTGGCCACCTAAGCACCTCCACTTACCTTTATAATGCCTGAAAATTAGGTACTTGGTCCTAGGATGATCTAGATAGACAGGTTTAGGCTCCTAGGATGCCTACACACTCAATGGGAAGTCTTGCATATCTCCCTAGAGTGATTCAGATTTAGTCACCCATGCTTTGCATAAAGAGAAAAGGGAGAGGTAGGCGCTTCCAAATGGCAATTTAGACAGCCCAGAGGTTTTTAGAAAAAGCCAATAAGACAATGCTAAGCCCAAGATCCCACTCCTTAGTGGAATTTGGGTGCTGCCCTTCACTCATGATCAAGAACACCTAGACAAGGGTCGGATAGACTTTTACAAGCAGCAAGCTGGAGCAACTCAGCTCCAGTCCAGTGCAGGCTGAGTAGCTTTAGTGGCATATCAGAAGCAGAGGGCTTCCCTATGCCTATGTTGGAGCAAGGCAACTAGGGAGCTGGAAGCTGTGCCCAAGCTGCTGCTTCTCTTCACCTCCCTCAACCCTACAAACTCCCAGGCTGTGGCACAGGTGCAGCTTCCAGCCAGTGGCAGCATAAATGCAACTAGAAACTGCATTTATGCTGCCACTGCTTCTCCCCATTCCTCCTCTTCTCCACCCTTGGCTGCAGCATGGGCACAGCTGGAGGCTGCTCAGCCCTAGCACACCTCCCCACTAGCTGGAAGCTACACTCATGCTGCAGCCACAGGGTGGGGACGGGAAATAAGGAGAAGCTCCCTAGCTCCAGTGCAGGCATAGGCAAAGTCACCCAGCCCATGTTAAACCAGAGCCAGGAGGGGAGAGGGCAGGAAGAAGTGGCAGTGGCATGGTCACAACTCAGAATTGTCCAGCCACAGTGCAGCTCTTTGCAGCCTGGCCCCAATAAGCATGAGGACAAACAAAACCCTCCAGCTCGAAAGGCTGGATTTGTTGACCCCCAGGCCCCTTATGAAGGTAGGAAAACAATGAGGGCATGGGGATGCCTGGGAAACTATTTTAACAGTCGCCAAGCACTTCATAGTAGTCATCATAGAAACCAGGGAAACCTCAGTCCAAGGCCTCCACAACCTGAGATGACTCAGACCCACATCTCCCACTTCCCAGGAGGGTGCCCTAACCATCAAACTACAGAATGAACTGGTGCAAGGCACTCTCCACCCCTGCCTACTGAAGAAGCCGGGCTACTGGATAGTAGAGCTGTGCGAGATTTTGCTGGCCATTTCGTTCCAATACTATTTTGACCAATTTCGAGGTCGAAACAGCAAAATTGGAATGAAACAAAGGCCATTGAAATAGCCTCAAAACAAAATGAGGCTGGTTGAAATATTTTGACCATAGTTTGGGATGGGAAGTCAGTCCAGCTGGGCTGACTTCCCATCCCCAGCTCAAGATTTGGCGGGGAGGGTGAGGCAGCCCAGCTGGGCTGCTTTCCCACCCCCCACACTACATCTCGCTGGGGGCAGGAGGCAGCCTAGCTGGGCTGCTTCCCTGTCCCCTGCGCTACATCACACTGGGAATGTAGCGCAGGGGACTTGGAAGCAGCTCAGTTGGGCTGCGTCCTGCCCCCGGCAGGATCTAGTGCTGGGGATGGGAAGTCAGCCCAGTCAGGCTGACTTCCCATCCCCAGCGAAACTCTAAACAGCGTTGAAACAACCTTTCTGTTTCAACAGAATGGAACAGCTGTTTCGACTCGAAATGAAATTTGAGACAAAACACTGTTTCGTTGAACCCTTGAAACTCAAGGCGAAATGGAATGGTGCCGTTTCACAGAGCCCTACTGGATAGTCAAGAAGCAAACATCATAGGGCATGTGAAAGAGCTCAGTTTTGTAGCTAAGTGATAAGTCACCTAGCTGAGAATCAATACGTGTCTAATGTACAATACATAAGAGTTCTGGGAGTAGGTACTTGAACCCAGGACTGCCTATTTATCCCTGTCCCTTCCTGTGAAGGCATTACTGGGTTAGACTCAGGATATCTCTTGCTTGCTTTCTGTCAGGATCCCTTACCCTTGCACTCCTTTCTGCCTGGTGGCACAGCTTCTTCACTGGGAGGAGCACAGCATGCCCCCACACAATTTTTTAATTTAGTTTTTCCATTGTTATAAGAAATAATTCACCTGATGTGAATAGAGTCTTCTCAGTGAAAAAGATACACAAGTGAAGACAGAACCAGACCCAAAAAAATGTAGTGACATGGGAGTAAATGCATAAGTAAGTACCTTGCCCGACAACCTCTTAATTATACTGGGCTGCAGAAGACTGCAGTGATTGCTGTAGCTCATCCATCTTATCCCACATCAAATAGTTTATTTCAAATCAAGTCATTAGCCCTATTTCTTTAATTCCTTTGCCACATAGTTTCTCTCTCTCGGATTTTTACAATCAATCTGCTGGTTAAAAACTGGTCTCCTGACTAGAATTAAATTGTGCTATTATCCTCTTGAAAGGGAACATGCACTGAATGGCAATAGTGCCATGTCTGATATTATCCCTGATTAAAATGTCCTTGGTAAGGCTTGCCAACATGGCAGGTGGCTCAAGGATCCTGTAAGAGAAGATGGCTAGCTTCCCCAGTATCTCCCATAGTGGAAGAGAGTAGACTGCTTACTCTAATCTCCTGAAGAGAAGACAAGCCAGCTTGTTATAAAATGTCCCTTGCCCAAGGACAGCCAACGGACTGCCTCAATCTTTTTAATAGCAGGAAGGGGGGTGGCTTGCACTTTCATCTTCTCTAGAAAGTAGCCATTTAGCAAGTCCGCAAGGGAGACATTTCTATGGACACAATTCCTTCTGAGCATAAGAACCTTAATGTGCATATATATCCAATAGGATAATCAAAACAAATAATGACCATCTCCTGAGGGAAGAGCAAGGAAATAAAGTCTCCCTGGATTGCACATATTACATTCAGCCTTTGATTTCAGGCAATATATCCACAGCCAATATTTACAGCTATTGCCCTGAGAGCCAGCTGATATTAGTATTCAGGCACCTCTCTTGCTCAGCTGTATGCATATGGATACAAAAGGATCAGCACACACAGAAGTGTGTTGTGGAATGAAAAGCTTGCTAGTGAAAAGAGGTGCAGGGAAGAAATGTCTATTTTCAGGCAGAGAGGTGTATGAATGGACTTGCAGTATTCAGGAACAGAAATTCACCTTAAACCCAAATCAGTGTAAAAATCAACAAAATAAAAATTGGGAAAGCCAGAAAAAACTTAGTATACTTCAAATGATCCAGCGCCAGATAGATGTAACCTTTTAGCAGTCTTCTTTCTGCTGTGATAAAACTCTTGAAGACATACTTATATAGTTTTCATGGCCACAGAGATGCAAGTTCTGGTTGATTTCCAAGGTATAAATATTTGCAATAAAGATGCCATTAATCATTTTGCCACTGACCTTGGTGTTTACACAGAAGCAATGCCTTACACAGAAGCAGAGTGACTCAGAAGCATTTCATAAAGGTGGCTATACTGCTTCTGGTTTGGGATTTAACATATGCAGATTAGTGCAACATGTTTGAGCATGACACCACCTGGCATGCTTTGTAGACATGCCCTTAGTGGAGAAGAAAAGAACCACCAGGGACTTAGGTATTCCCACACTACTGCACTTTAAATTCACATTTTAATGGATTTTGCCATTCCTCCCTTGTGCAGATGAGTCTTAAGTGTCTTACACCTGATATTCACTCTCTCTGCCAGTCTTTGTAATTTTACAAAACATTATCTTATATCTGAAAATATTTTTGTCTTCCCAGTTGCTGTGTAAAGACCCAAACAAATACGGGGGAAAAGTGACTGAGTATACAAGTAAAACAGACTATACGTAAAATACCACCAAACATACAATGTACAGAAGCATGGAGGAGTATATCTATTTGTACGCAGGCATAATACAACTCACTTCAATTCCCATATATCTTTGGGATGAAATCTTGGCTCCTTTGAAATCAATATCTTTATGCCAGTAACTTTAGTGGGAGCAGAATTTCACATTTGATTGTCCTTCAGTTGCATTAATCTTAGATGATGTGCTAGTGCAGTTAATCATTTTAAAACTCGAGTGTGAATTTTTTAATTAACAGAGAAATACAGTGGTACCAGCATAACATAAGGTATATTATTTGGGATTTACCAGGTATGTAGTTGCATAGCCTCTCCAAAGCTGCTTTTGCTGTCGAGTTATGTAACTGAGCAAGCTGTTCAATTACTGATGTAACAAGCATGCACCCTGCAAGTAACCACAAGGAAGAGATCATTGTAACAACAGGTCAAGGTAAGGTACAGTATCTGGTGTGAGAAAGCGATCTCCCTGGATATGCTGACATGAAACCTCAGACAGTCTGTTTCTTGGGAGGGTGCCCATGGCTGATGGCATTTCTTGGGGAGGGAGAGGAGTGGGGATCTATTTCTATTGTTATTCAAAGTGCCACTTATGAAGCTAACAGTAGGGCAAAAAATGGAAAAGCCTGAATTTTACATAGCCGTATTTGTTTTGTATTTCCAGGCAAAGGAGTTTCTGTGATTGATTTCTGTCCCTGTATGCATAGAACTGGACCTGTAAAAGTGAAACCAAAAGGTGAAAAAAGAAAAATATTCCCATAATTAATTAAAACAGTACTGTAATCACTATTTTGTCACTTTCCATACCTATAGCAATATATGCCCATATCTGATTTAACTGTTATATCTGGACAGCCTGCTCACAAGCAGATACCAACACAAGTTGAAGGGTAAATTTTGTAGTGGCATCAGGTTGTTGGAGTGCCACCTGGCCTGATTCAGTACAGAACTTCCTCTGAAGTCAGGCAGGTTCTGCACACAGAGAGCTTGCCAGATCAGAAGTCCAAATAGCTAAATATTTACTAAGGCTAAAATAGTTCCTCAGTTCACTCTTCTCCCTTTGTGTAGTTGAACAGAGTTCATTTTCTGCATGCTGGACAAGTCAGGGACTGTTCACTGCTGCTCCAGCCCTGGAGAAAGCAAGAACATGGTCTTAGCACCTTCCCTGCACTAAATACAAAGGAAAGGCTGGTGGACCAGAAGAACAAACGATTCTGTGCCGAGAACATATTTCACTTTCACTGTAAGGAAGGACCACCATTGAAAAACTGCTGTTTGGGGAGCTAAGGTATCTCCGAAGATCCTAAGGGAGTGGGGGTAGCTCTATAACACACCTTGAGCAGAACTGTGGTTAAAAAGCCAAAATTTAGCCCAAAATTAAATGTTTATCTCTCTTGCAGCTCTATACAATGAAGCTGTCCTCTCCCTCCAAGTGAGGACTCTGATATTATATAGGAAGCTATATTTGATAATGCAAAGTCTGACCAGAGTAATTTGTGGACACTTGACATGGGCGGGCAATTATTTTAGTCAGACGGCCACTTACGGAGTTTTGGCAAGCCATTGAGGGCTGCATGACAGGCAGCCAGGGACAGATAAGTATTGATTTTCTAAATTTTTTAGGGACCCCATGGGCCAGATAGAATGGCTTCGTGGGCCATATCCGGCCCACAGGCTGCATTTTGCCAACCCCTGAATTAAAGTGTGACCTTGGTAGCACATCATGTGCTACCAATTAGATAATCTGGGAGCCAAACTAGAAACCACTAAAACTATCTGTTGGGATTCAACGTAGCTGGACTAATGTAGGACCACAAGGAAGGTGAGATCACAGGTTTTGCAGTGATGCTTTATTGAGATGAAACCTATCTGCAACATTCAGATCTTATTTCCTTAAAGCATAGGGTCATTTACCACTAGCGGTTTTGTCTGCCTTATTTCTTCTAGGTGAGGGAGGGCCCATAGCAGGGAGGGACACTCTGTTATTGGCCCTGCCATGACATGATATTCAACCTAAAAATTTGTTCTTTTCCAACATAAGGGAAATGTCCCATTTGGACTATGTTACAAAGTGAGGGTGGAGGACAAAGACACTCCAGTTGTAACGTGTCAAAATTAACCTCTTTATTAGAGATTAATAATTAGAGATTAGAGAAAGAAAGTCCTTTCTTCAAAAGCAATAATACTATATAGAGGTAAGAAAACCTTTACTCTCATATATAGTAATCCAAAGATAACAGTGGGAATAACAGTGAGCTCACCATCTCCTAGCAGTCATAAAATCCTGCTTCCCTACACTTATTAAACAAAATCCTTGACAGGACTCATTTACAGAGTGTGATTTATAAGACTTATGGTAGCAGTGGGTACCTGTAGCCAACCAAACATGAGAGAATAAATGGAGGTGGATGCCAAGAAAGAAAAACAGTAGCACACTTCAAGGGATAACACTTAAGTAAAAGCACACAAAAGAGTTCATAAAATAGAAAACTGACTGCAAGGAGTTTGATATTTTTAAAGAAATACAATTTATTTATGTTTCGTTTATTTTCGTTGTGTGTGGACCTTAGTGTAAAAGTGACCCTTTACAGGAGACAGGAATGAAGATGTAGTAAAGAAAGCCACACCATGCATTAGTAGCATAAAGGAGAAAATATGAAGATGGGAGTGGGAAAAGGACACACAGGGCAGCAGCAAGGTCACCATTACTGGCTGAGGAAAGGGCAGAAGGGAGGTACATGGTACATGACAGACCATGACATTCAAAACAAAGCCTGAAGCAGAACTGAGCAGAACCTTGAAGGTAAGAGCAAGAAGTTTAAGCTGATGTCAGGCAAGAAGTAATCAATGGAGTGGGCCCAGAAAAGGAATAACCTGACCTAATCAACATATTTCAGGCATAGATATAGCTACAGGGAGGGAAAAAAAAGTCTCCTCAAAATTACATTTCCTCCTATACATTGTGGTTAAAATTGCATAGATGTTCATTTAGAAGGTGAGCATCTCTTTCCTCTCGCTCAGCAAGCTGTCACTTTGAGCAGTCAAGGGTGACAAAGACTGCAACAGAGGAATAATGTTCAATTTGTCTTTATTATATAACAAAGGGCACAGCACTGCTAGTACTTTGCAATCTAAGCTCCTGACAGCACACCCTCTGTATCTCCTGCTTGGTATATACTCTTCTACTTCCTAATTAACAAAGCATAAAGCTACACAGTAGTTTTTCATTCAAAGCACTGCACTGTAGTGCTTTGTTTCAGCCCTAGTCATGATTACAATTACAGTTATCTTTATGCATCCTCTTGTACTTTACTGGATGGGAAGGAAATATCTGTTACTGGGCTTATGACTGTATTTTTTTTCCTTCTGTTTACAGTAACTGGACAATATGATACCCAGTTCATATTGCAACCTTCAATGACAGCACCAACCACAACATGTTTGTGGTTAAGCAGGAGGGAGAAGGATGAACACCCTGTGTGGTATCACTTCTCTTGTGCTTTTCACAGTTTTACTCTAGAACCCAAAAACCAAACTGTACAACAAAGCTGTTTTATATTTCAGATGCAGCAGCCTTCCCATAAGGTTAATGCAAGCCATTCATTTAACTTTGCAAAGTTACAAAAATGCAAGTTAAGGTTTCATTTTGGTATATTCTTCATCTCAGGATAAAACATTTATCATAATAAATCTCTCACCTTAAGACAGAATGACACATCATGCAGGTATAAACAAGAAGTCAAGGGCAATATGAAACTTCTCTGTGCCTTAGATCACTCACTTGATAGAGTGATCATTATTACTGCATCTGAATACAGTAACTAATATAATATCTATAGGGCATGTCTACACATGTAATTAATATGACTGAATATACTCTGGCTCAATCTGAGCAGGAGTAAACTAATTGTGATGTCACCATCTACACATGCGTTTAAGCACAGTAATTTACTGCGCTGCTGGATAGCACCTGTATCTGACAGCACTATCTGGCAGGGCAGTAATTTAGTCTACTGCACCCTAAATGCTATGCACATGTAGATGGTGATGCTTTACTGCACAGCAAATTAATATGCTGCACAGTAAAGCATCTCATGTAGATGTCGCCAAAGGGCACATCTGGGGGTGGGGAAGCAGTGCTTTAATTAAAGCGGCTCCAACAGCCTCTCTAAAACACCACCCTGTCTCCTGTATCAGCATCCCTATGCTTAAAAATGGTGGTGGGGGCACTTGAACTAATGCTTGTTCAACCAGCTTTAGTTCACACACCCCTATCACCACTTTTAAGCACAGGGATGCTGATACATGAGATGCAGGAGGCTGCTTGAGTGTGGTAATTGCCATGCTTCACATTGGAGCAGCCTCCACGCTCATGTATAGACACCCAAAGTGTTTAACAGTAGACTCAGATTACTTCTACAAAGCTCAGCAGCTTGCTTCATGCTTTGTCCTGGGGGTGCAGATGGAGTAGAAAACATTTTCTCACTCTTTCTTCTAATTTGGTTTTGAATCCTTGTCCTCAATTATCAAAAAAAAAAGTTCCTTTAGAGCACGTTGTGAAGTCAGTCATCTCTTCTCACAGGTCCTTCTAAAAGAGGAAACTATTGACAAGAGGATTTGTCTGCATGTTGCCCTGTGGTGATGCTGTTACTATGCCATGCTTTAGCACTGCCTTTTGAAAATATTAAAGTATGGTGCAGTAACTGTCTGTATTGCACCATACACAGTGCATGGTTATTTTTAGTAGCTACTTCACCATAGTGGCACGCTGTAATGAGGGGGAGGGGGGAGGATGGGGCTGCTACTATGGCGAAGTAGCTGCTGGTCACATGTAGACACCCATGGATGCTATGTCACCTTAGTGATACGCTACAGTGACATAGTGTCACATGTAGATATACCCAGATAGTAAACTACGGACTTCATTAACACCATAAGTCTAGTTCCAGAAATAGGCCCCTGGTTTTCATCTGGGCTATTGTTGACTGCATTGTCCAGAGAACTGCAATGATCAGCTTGGGTCATGAAATAGATTTAGTTGGACCATGATCATCTGAGGCTTAAACAACAGCAGCTGGCCTTAAAATGGCATCAGAAATTATCTGTAAACTACCATGGAGTGATTGTCTGAAGGATCCTCAGAAGATTTTCATCCAGAACGCATTTCCATCTCCACTGTAGTAACTCCTGTTAATACATCCCAATATATTATTAGGGTTTGGTTTGGTTTGTTTGTTTGTTTTACAATATAGGCCTTTTGACACATTAAGTTTCTATCTGCTATAACCTTCATGTTCTATTCCATAATCGTTTGCAGGGATGCTTTATTCTAAATCCTGAAGAAGACTGGCTGCCCACCTAAGTGCTTGAGCATCATCAAGTCTTTCC